GATAAGTTCTTTCGTGGAGGGCTAGAGATGTTGAGGGAGGGCTAAGCTAGAAGGTTTTATGAATGCAGAAACAGAAGAAGCAAAGTGAAGCAAACAAGTGAAGCAAAAGTTGTATCTGAAGAAAATGGGAATTTTTGCTTTGGGTTTCCTCTTTTAAAATGGTACAAATTTACAAGTTCTCATTCTCAAAGTAGTCAGTGAGATCAGGAAGTCTGAGCAGCTGTTTGTCCTTCCCTTCCTGTCCTGAATGCCTGGGAGGCAAGGTGTGAGGGCTGGTGACAACTGCTTGCTACCTGGATGTGTTTAATGAGGAGCCATGCAGGAATACTTGTTGAGCTCCAGGACTGGGTAGCCACGCTCTGGAGAGAGCAGTTCCTTAGAAGTGGTGTGCTTCTTAATCCTGGAGCAAGCACCGTGTAAGATTGATTTGGAATGGATTAGAGGCTTGCTTTTCTTTATCCACAGGAGAGGGCAAGTGGAAGTCAGAGTGAGAGAGAGCAGTGCTTGCAGCAAGGAAGGCTTTTGGGGTTAGGAGCAGAAGGCATTTGGAAATCAGAGACCTGGAAATAGATTTCCATACTGGGCGAAATGTGGAGGGGTGTGGAGACAGGGATGTTACCTACCTGTGAGTCAGGCAGCAGGGAAGGAAGGAGTCTTTAACCCCTTCCCCATTCCTTTTCTCCCTTCTCTGTCTGTTTTGGTTTTATTTTATTTTACTTTTTAGAATCTGGGACAAAGTGATTTTGGCCACATCTTCTTCAACTACAATACACAAATGCAGTGGCATTTCTTGGGAGATTTGACCTATGTAGCTCTCAGGTAATTTTGCTTTCTGATAGTCACATGCCCATTGTGGTATACATGTGTACACTGAAGTATTTTAGAGTGAATAAGGCAACCTGCACTTAACAAGTTGTATGCTATGCTGGGTGTGATGGCACAATCCGAATCCCAAATACTGTGGAGACAGAGGCAAGAAGATGTGTGTTATCTCTAGGCTAGCCTGGTCTAAATAGCCTGGAATGTTTTAAATAGGCATCTAAAAACCTATTTGTGTGCTTTATGAAATGAACAGTGGAGAATTTCCGTTATGGCTCTGAATTGCCTTTCATTCTCCCTACTCCTCTCCCCTTCCCTCACACCCTTCCTCCTACCCCTCTTCACCTTCACATACTTTACCTGCTCTTCTCTTCTAGCTTTTTGGGACAGGGTCTCTTGTAACCTAGGTCCCTTCATCCAACTGAATAGATACATTGCCCAGTGTGGCTTTAAACTGCTGATTCTCCCCCTACACCCCCCCCCCCACAATTTTAGTTAGTGAATGATGGTTTACCTATTTTTCATTTCTGGACAAATTCAACATCTGGCTGGGGCTACAGCTAGAGAGAGGGCTTGGCCGACACGTACAAGCCCTGGGCTTGAAGATGGATTACGTCTACTGTGTGAAGTTAGCATTACACACATGCAAGAGTTATTTTGAAAGCTCATTAATTTAAAGAGCTAATGAAAAGTCCTCCTGGCATTCAGGAGGTATAATGACTGCTCCACTCCTCTTGTAAGAGTTTGCCCTCTTTGCTAACTTGAGCACCCTGGGCCCCTGTGGGAGTAATGGATTCAGGAAATGTAGAAACAGAAAGTTGTTCTTTTGTTGTGCAGATGATGTCCTTTGCTGTCTCACAGTAGCTTTCTATCATAAAGAGAAAGTCTACTGGATAATAAGACAATGCTACATTTAAAATTTTTATTTTATTTTATTACTTTTTTATTTTATATGTCGACCCATTTTAAATTTTTTAATGAGTCAATTACTATTTAGGACAGAGTCTTGTGTAGTTCTGGCTGGTTTGGAGCTTGGTATGTAGACTATGCTGGCCTCTAAGCGATCCTCTGCCTCTGTGTCTGGAACGAGAGGCGTGTTCCATTCCTGCCAGCTGGACTGTGGCAATCTCCATCTTTCTCAGGTGCTTCCGAGATGAATGCTAGGGAAACCGTGAACCTCAACACATCACCAGAAAAGCCAGAGTTATGTGCTCTCAACGCCTTCCTAGTGGGTTTTACTCACTTGGGTCCTACCATACAGTGGTGATTTTTAAAGTACTTGGCAAACAACAGTGTTGAAATTGGCCCTTTCTTCACTCACCCAGCTTCCACTGGGGTGGCTTCTCCTGGACTTTTGTTTGTGTGGATATGTTACCACTAGTGAGATTCACTTCCATTTTACTTATTTACTTTTTTCTATTTTTTTTTGAGGTAGGGTTTCTCTGCTATTCTCACTCTGTAGACCTGACTCTGCCTTCTGAGTACTGGGATTAAAGGTATGGACCACCGCCACTGGCAGATTATTCTAATTTAGATTATAAACCACTCAGAATCCAGAGATTTTCAGGTTTACTTCAAATTCTGTTTATGTCCTCTACGGGGAAATATTTGCTGTATTTTTTATTGACATATTTAGATTGTCTCAACAATTATCACTTGAAGATTGCAGTCACTTGTTTTGTGGTGTGGGGATCAAACTCAGAGTCATTTTTATAGGTTAGGAAAGCTCTGCTAGGCCACATACCCAAGCCAAAAAGATATTAAAAAAATTGTTTTAATGGAATCTCATTATGTAACCCTGGCTGGCCTGGAACATGAGTGATGGATTAAAATTGTATGCCGCTGTGGCCACCTTAGACTTTCCCTCTCACACCTTGCTAAATTTTTGCTTTTTTCCCTTTCAGAACAAACCCATACAAAATAAGGCAGAAGTATAACCCTGTGCAGAAGGGAAGGCATTTATATGCTAGTTTTCAGCAGATAAACCTTGCTTCTAATTTTAATACTAATGACATTTATAGCCCGTTCCTAAAGGAGATTTTGAATGAATGATGCTTTCTCTAGTTTTATATCCAAGGTTAGTTTGTTTACAGAATAAGTGACCAACATGGGCATACAAGTCCCTTACACTATGGTGTTTTCCTGATTTATACAGAGGAGGATATGTCTGACTGTTGGTTATTGCATGAGCTGCCTCTACAAAGTCCAAGTGAGCTTTGCAATTTGATTCTCCTGCCTCGGCCTGTCAGGTAGTTGAGCTTATTGGTGTGAACCACTGCACTTGGAGGAAGTTATTTTCATTACATCTTTCTTCTCAAACTTTAAAGAGGATATCTTTCTAAGTCTTTATTTACTTATTTTTATGTGTATGGGAGTTTTGTCTGCATGCATGTCTGTACACTAGTTGTGTGCCTGATGCCTGTAGAGGCCAGAAGAGGGAGGGCTTCAGATCCCTTGGCACTGGAGTTAGAGTTAAGAGCTGGAATCCTGTTGCTGGAGATTGACTGTGGACCCTCTGAGAGAGCAGCTGAGCCATCTGTCTCTCTAGCCTCTCGTGCAGGATCTTGCACTATCTTGAACCTATGTGTCCTTCAGTCTCGAAAGTCACCTAATCAGTCAGCATCTCCTTCTGAGTATGGGAAACTGTCTCTCTTACAGTGGCATTTGTAAAGTTTTCCTAAATGCTTGGAAGCTTAAACGTTATCTTTGGCATTGAACATTGACAGTTGTTTTCCTTGAAGAAAGACTTTGCCAGTAGCTCCAATCAGAACTGTATGAAGTGTTCTTTCAAGGAAACAACATGATAGTCCACAAGAAAACCCAACCAGTTCAGGCTTGCAGCTAGCTCACTTTTACAAATGCAGGTCTTTGGGACCGCCAACGTGCTCCCCAATTCAGGGTAGTGCTCCGCAGTTCAGAATAGCACCTTCCATTTTGTCACCAAGAAAGGGAGGAGGAGGAAGAAGGAAAACAAAAGAAGCCTCACTTAACAGTCAGGATTTAGTCAAAGGACTAGTTACTTCATTAAGGGCATTCCCAAACAACACGCGCTCTCTGGTGGGCTCACTAGTGGGTATGGTGAAGAAGGCAGTGGCCACTGGCCTCAACTGCCGATTTCTCCGATGGTGTCGGTTACTGTCGGTTCGGCATTGTCTTGTGTATTTTGAAAGTGGGTCTGACCTCCGGGAAACGCCCGGGGAGTCTAGAGAGACCTCACATTGTGGTGTCGGTGCCGCACCTTTCAGTCTTTAGGAACTGGGCTGTCAGTGAGCGTCGAATCGCACCGGGTATGAGTGCCCGTTCAGCATTGCTCTAAGGGTTTCCGGCGCCAGCAGCAAGCAAACTGGTCCACGGCGAAGCCCAAGTCCTTTCCCTACCGCTCTGCCCATCGTAGTTCGTAGCCGCTTCCCAGGCAAGGCTTGGTGCCTTTCCTGACGTCCGAGTGGTTCGCAATTTTGTTCATACTTTCGAGCGCTAATTATCGAGTCGTTGTTTTGCATCATGGTTTTTGTTTGAGGAGGGAGGCAATTCTTTTAATTTATTAGGGGACTTCCCCGAATGGTTGTTTTCTGTGTAATCCGCTTGTTGCCCCAAGAGGGAAGTCGTTGTGTAAACACTTGTCTCTCAGTACTAAACTCAAAACTGAAAGCAGAGTTAAAGCAGTGTCCCTTGCGGATCTCCGATGACAAGCGCCACAGTGACGACCAGAAGCATCGAGGGTGGTTTGGGATTGCCCGCTTCCCGCACAACCTCGCGGCTCCGGAACGCCGAGGACCCAGCCCGAGCGCCGTGGTCCCCGGTGCGCGCGTTTGCATACGGCGGGGCTGGAGGCAGCGGCGGCCGAGCGCTGCCCTTAAAAGGAGGCGGGCCGTACCACCGCGGCGCCCGCGGGGGGGTCCCGGCGAGCTCGGGCTCCTCGAGGGGATCCGAGGGCCGCGCGCTTCGCTCTCGGAGTGCAAGCCGACTGGGAGCGGGGAGCCCGCGGCGGGCGCCAGAGACGCGACCGGTGGTCTGCAGTGCCCCGAGCGTGCCCCGGGGCGGTGGGCAGCGCCGGTCCCCGGGCTCGAGCGAGGTGCGGCTCGCCCGGCCGCCCCCGGTGCCCGGATGTCCGTCAGGCTCGGCGCGAGCCGAGGCTCCGGGGGGCGGAGGCGGCGCTGAGGACGCGGAGCTGGGGACGCAGCGGCCGGCAGCTGAGCGTCCGCGCGCCCGGGGCGTCCGCTGGGCAGCGTCGCCGACGGCTGCGGTCGATGCGGAGCGCGGCGCGGGCGCAGAGGCCCGCGGGCCGGGGGTTCTGATGGACTCGGGACGCCGGGCTGTGTGAGCCGAGCCATGGCAGCCCACTCCAGGTGAGGCGGCCGGGGGCTTCCCGGACCCTCCGGTGAGCGGCCGCGGGGGCCGGAGCAGGGGTGGCGACGCGGGTGGGGGTGCCGGGGCGGGGACCGCAGGAAGCCACCGGGTCACTGCTATCTCATCCCCGAGTGCCAGGCAGAAAAACAGCGTCTGCACCGGGTGCACAGGGACCGCCCGAAAAGTTAAGGTTAAAGTTACAGCTCCCGCGCGCCGCTGCCCCAAAGAGTTGTTATTTTTCGGCAAGCGAAGTTGGTTTCACTCGCCTGCCAGGGTTCTCACTGACGTGCCCTGGGCAGTCTTCTTTGGCTCTCCGTTGGTGTCTTCAAAAGAAACTTGGAAGTACACTTAATGGAAACTAGAATTCGCCCCGGAGAGGGTGGGGGGGGGGGATTTGCCTGGTGAGTAATGAAGACTTCCCTGCTAGAATGTACGATTCCACAGAAAACGGTGCTGCCAGACCGAATCTGCTGAGTAGGCAGAGGCCGGAATGCGCCCGGTTGGTGAAGAGGAGCGTGGCTAATGACCCGCAGTTGCTGTCAGGGCAGCACTGTGCACCGCAAGGCGCCAGGACCTGCCTTCTTCGGGGTCTGCAGGTTTTGAAAGGAACCTTAAAAAACTTGACCGCGCGCGGGTGATTGCTTGTTAAAGATCCTAGCTGTTGAGTGTCATTGCGTTTCAGTCGTGAAAACAATTGGTGATCAGGGAAACCGGGGGACGAGAGGGGGGGCGGGACGGGGGAAGCACACCACTAAAAACTTTTGCCAGAAGCAGTGTGGCTGCACAGGCTCACAGTTACGCAGTGCAGGGTAGTGACTTGGCGGTGGATCTGGAAGTTTAGCTAACCAATTTTTAGGTCTGAAGACCCGGATCATGGAGAGCAAGCAGTAGATGTGTAAACGTTAGAGATGGAGCAGATAGGACTTGAATTTTTCTAAGAGATTAAAAACTTTCGAGGAAGGAAAGAACTTCCTACAGAGAAAAGATCCTCAATGATGCCTACTTTAAAAACAAATTTAACCTCAGCTCAGCTTAATTTCTGCCTCCGTTTTATTGCGTGTTCGAAGGAAGGGGTTCATAACAGAGCATAGGGGTAGAGGAACAGAATTCGCATCTGTAAAAACTTTTGCTGAATGCTAACGAAAAAGTAATCTTTGTTTGCATGGAATATAGCCCCAAACCCTACATTCCCGGCCCTTGAGCTCTGGGCACAAACAGGAGCTGTAGATTTTCATAATGGCATTGCATTTACCACAGGTGTCTTAAGTCTCTCACATTTGCCACTTGTTTGAAATTAAGAACTGCTTATCTTCTTTGCTGTTATACCATTACTTTGTCAGTGACACACTTTGATAAATACTGTCTTACACAATTTGTTTCCTTTGTGTACCAATGTAATTAATTTTGTGTTAAAAAGATACCCTGAGTCCCATTATTTATCTCACTGCCTCAGGAGCCCATGGCACAAAACTTGGAGTGAAAGTACCCCTATAAAATGGTTAACACAGGCAGATCATGGGAATTTGAACCCAGGTTCTGTTGTTCCAATGCCTGAGCCCTTAGACTAATACAAAATGTAAAATGAGATAATGTAAATGAGATAAAAGATAAATTGGATACTGTGTGTTTCAGACACAGCATTAAGCTGTGGTAAAGTTACCTCTTTTGTCACCTAAATAGATAAGTACTTTATTATCTACACTTGGTAGTTAAGGAAACTGAGGCCTAGCCAGGGTGTTTCTAGGGTCACACAGGTGGTACACGCCTGACCCCAGGTGGACTGTGTAGCTGCTACAGTGTAGCGCCTCCTGGGTTGCCTGTTGGTTGCCTCTGTAGCTGTGATTCACTGTAAGAGCACATAAAATTATTTCTAAGATTGCTCTGCTGCAAGATGCTAAAATCTAAGTTGTCAGCGAGGTTCCTCAATGCATTAGCAAATTAAAATAGGAGGCCCAGACATTATTTCTGGTCCCTATCTGGCCTGACTACCTGCTTTGGAACTAGAGACAAAGCTACTACAGGAGGTCACTGTTGGTGGTTTTTCTTAGCCTCCATGTTGAGAGTGAATGCCATATCTCTTCAGGTTATACCTTGAATGTAATCTGTCCGAGCTTGTGAAGAAATCTTGGTATGATAGAGTAGATAACCGCTGAGATTCAAAGAGAGGATGTATGGAAAAGAGTCCCCAAAGTCAGGCCAAGTTTCCATGGGAAGGGCTAAGAAATGGAAGCCTTCTTTGTGAAGCCATGAGCACAAATTGTTTGTTCTTGTGACACTTAATTTGGATTGTCAGGCTCATTGCACTTAGAGGTACACAGCTCACTGTTTAACCACAGTGGTTAAGAGCACTGGCTGCTCTTGCAGAGAACCCCAGCTCTGTTCCCAGCACCCATATAGCAGCTCACAACCACCTGTAACTCCAGTTCCAGGAGATCCAGTGCCCCTCCTGGCTTCCTGGGATGTCAGGCAGAACACATACATACAGGCAAAAACACTTACAATTAATATAAAATCCCAACAAGCCTACATTTCTCTGTGCAAAGACATAACTGTCCGTGGGAGCTTGGGGCTCCTGTTGCAGTGAACATGGGTGTAGGGACCAGCCATTCCTGACTTAGTGCTGAGTGAATGAATGGATGTGCATTCACTTTGCCTCCCTGTGGTTCCTCAAGGCAGGACAGTGTTGCTCTCTTTTTGTTCCTGTATCAGTTGTGAAAGATGGGTAATGATTTCTGGGCTCACAAGCAGCCCAGAAATGCTACCAAGTCCTGAAAGTGGGTTATTAGTTTTTGTTTTGCTTTGGTGGTAGATCCCTCCTTCCCTGCCTCTCTCCCTCCCTGTATCTGGCTGTCCTGGAACTCACTATGGAGAACAGGCTGGCCTCAAAATCATGATCCACTTTCCCCTCCTGAGTTATATAACTCAAAGGCACGTGTCCCCATGTTTGGTAGTAGATTTTTAAAGAAATGGAAGACATTTGTTTACTACTACTTGGGGGAAAAAAGGTTTATTTAGGATCAGAGTTGGGAGTTTGTCACAGCAGGTGCATATGCTATGTTCCAGTCCAGTGTGCTCTTTCTCTAGAACTTGTAAACATAACACACCCTGAGCTCACTTCCTTGAGAGAACTGGTAGAAGCTTGATTTCTTCAATGTGAAACGGTTACAGAATCTCTGCTATGTAGAGACTGTTCTTTATGGAATTACAGAAATGATTTAGTAAACTCAACAGCATTGGACTTATCCCATGCAGAATGCTGCTGTGTGCTGAGGGACAATTGTTGATTGCTAGAGCAAAAAGGAGGTATGTGTCTGAGTTTCCAGCGCCCACCCCAGTTCCTACATTGAAACAAGTCAGTGGATTCTAGGATGGAAAACATCTATCTTCTATCAGGGATTAATCAGTTGCAAAACTCTCCTTGTGCTGGGCTATGATAGACTCCAGCATTTGGGAATTAGAGGCAACAACAGCTCCAAGTTCAAAACCAGCCAGGGCAATCCTTTGTGCTATGAGAGTCATCCTGACCCACACCTACAACGGGAAAGGAAGGGTATCTGGGTGACATGGGGGAGTTGCACTTATTCTTTGTGAGAGAATTGCACTTGGTGGTTGAAGCCCTCCAGGCATTGCAAAAAGAGACTAGGACTAGCCAGCTCTCTCATGGTTTTCCTTTGGAACTTTGACTACTAAGTCCTTACTAAGGAAGCCCCAAAAGTTGATGAAGATGTGACATCAGGTCATTCCTAAGCTTAATACAAAGCTGTTTTTTAGTAGCTCTCTCTGATTCTAGGGAGAGAAACTGTTCCTGTTGTGTAAAGGACTGCCCTCAAACTGGTACAGAACCAGTTTGGCCCCACCCTGGGCCTCCCCCGCCTCCTGGGGAGCTACTGATTACCTGGGAGAAAACCCAGAATGCAAAGTGATTAAACAGAATAATTATCGGGAAAGTACAGTCAAGGGAGAGATTTGGAGGGTGTGTGTGCCAGTCCTTGACCCCCTGACTAGCCCCCTCGGTCCTCCATGGTACCTTTATACACAGTGCCTGGCAGACGAGACACAAACAGGTCTTCAGGGGTTACTTTCTAGTTCATCGTCAGAGCCCAGCGAGCTCCCTGACTCACTGTCTAGTTCTTTCCAAGATGAAGGTTGCAGGAGCCATGACTCATTCTTTCTTAAAGTCAGCTGGCTTATGGGGATATTGTTTGGCAAAATAAGTGGAAATGATCTCCTAAGAGATCTAGGTGGTTCTGTGGCTTAGCATGAGTTGTTCCACAGAGTTTGTGAGAGGGAGACTCCATGGATGCTGTTAGAATCTCAAGTATATTTAGGGAGGAAACAGTCTCCATGGATGAGGGCTGACAGGACATTTCTGTCTGATTCCAGCTGATGTGTGACTGGAAAGCTGTAGGAAGGGAATAAATGGCTGTAGCTCTGAAGTGTTCTACAACTCTGCTGCCTTTATCTGTATAAATCTCACTTTCTCAGTTTTTTTGGGCTTCTCCAATTCATTTGTTTCCTGGGACTCACAAATGCATTTCAATTCAGAATGTGAACTGTTTTGGAAATACAGTTTGTACCCCTAGGAACTTTATTTCCTGGTTCAGCCACATGACTGAATAGAGCTGGAGTATAGTTCCTTTGCAGGTGCACTAATTTTATTGCTCTCTGTGTAACTTATAGCTTAAACACTTACCTGCCTTTTTACTCTCTGAAGTGGGAGTCTACCTTTGCCTTAGATTGTTGTCTTTCAGTTCATGATAAGCATAACATGCACGGATTTGCTCCAAGTAGTAGAGTAGGGAGACTGCATGGCTTTCTCATACAGGAGCATGGTGTGGTGTCACACACTTAATCCCAGCAGTCTGCAGGCAGAGGAGGGTGGATCTCTGAGTTCCAGGCCAGCGGGGTTGGTCTATGTAGAGTTCCAGGACAGCCAGGGCTGCATTGTAAGAGAAAGTAACAGTTGAAGTTTAGTTTTAGATTTAGCAAAAAAAAAAAA